TAGAACACAAAAGGTGGTTTTGTAACTAAAATTTTAAGCTACCGACGATTTTTGAAAAACTTTAAAAACTTCGATTTATTTTTGAAAATTTTATGTTACACCTGATCTTATAATTTGATTGGTAGAAGAAAGGTGGCGTAGTCGACATTGTCCAATTAGAGATGATATTTACAACTGTCCAACAGATTTGGATGTACGTGATGTTACACCAAACTGATGTACGCAAACAATTCCTCTTAAAAATTTAGCGTTAGACTATAATTTCTTTAAATTATACCGTGCCAATCGTTTTTTGTAAAGATTCGTGGAAAAAAATGGGTTGTACGTGAAGTGAGTCGTTTTTTGAGTGCTAATCTTCCAATAATAAATATTTGTCGATCTATTTTATGTATAAAATCTAACGGTATTATTATTATTTATGCACCTCACATGATTTTGATTTAATTAGTATATGGGTGAGTATACAACAAAACCATGCTTAGAGTATATATAATACATATACTCTAAGCATGGTTTCGTATTATTATTATATATATAAATGATATAAAAATACTCCTGTCAGGTCATTTTCTCAAAAAATTTTAATTGAGAATCAAAAAAATATAACTCATTAAAATTTATAAAAATTTTAAGATATTAATTTTTTTTTGTTCTATAAAAAATATAATTTTAGAATTTGATTGGTTTTTTTACTGTTTTGTATAACAAATATCTATATACAAATAGTAACTATCAAATATAAAATTGCAAAACTATATTTAACACAATCATGCGTGTACGTATACAAATAAACCTTTTTTACGAATTAACATTAAAGCTACGTATTGATATTCAAAAAATTAGCTTCTTTGAACTTCTATTTGCTTAACATATGAGTGTATTAGTGAAACCTATAACCAATCATAGTTAATCATTAAAATATGTTTCCAGGTTTACACTCATATCGAAATAATAAGGTCGATATCATATGCCTAAAAAAGTTATATATAAACCGTACACATATATGTTCGTACCTAAGTACGTACTTGTATGTATGTTTCATGTAAAGAAATAAAACAAATAGTGATCATTACTGTACGACGTATAAATACGAATTGGAAATTTTAATTTTTTTTAATAATAAATAATAAACGGTAACCATATTTCTCACACCTTGTGATGGCATTTCGCAAAAAAGACAAAATCTGGATTGTTTATCCCTTTTTAGCAGTAAAATAACGAGGCTTTGAAAGATGGCTTGCGTAAAAAAAAGGACTTACTCTTAAATAAGATTTTGACGGGAGTTACGAAGAAGGCAATAACCGGCCTTTGACTGGAAAAATATCCTGGAAGAGATATCGCACAAAGCCATATGATTAAAATTGAACATACAAAAACCATTATTGTCCCCTTTATATTATTTTGAAACTAACCAAGTATAGTCTTTAAAAGAATTTGTTTCTCGTATAATAAATTACCAAATAATTTTAAAAATCTTGCATTCCGTAACAAACAGCGTAGTATTATTTTGTTCGATTAGGAAAGCTGACCAATAATTTCGTAATAAAGAAAAGCAAACTTATTTTTAATTTATGTTTATTATCGTAACAGGAATCTTTTATGTGTGTAATCGAAATTATGACATAAGGATAGCAATAGAGATACGTATATAAAATTGCTCAAAATTATAAAACACGAGACGTGATGCTTAGAAAATTCATTATTTACCTAAATTTATACTGTGGGAATAGTTTAATGCATCACAAAAATATGATAGACTGACATTGATTCATGCGCCCATAAGGTATTTTAAAAAGATATAAAAATACTTAAGCATTGGTATGGTGTAATCTTACTCACGTTTTTGACGGATTGGTATAAATATCTTATGAACTGTTACTACTCTTTAATTTGATGCAGAGTTTTTTCTTTCTTAAAGTTGAAAATTGTTAAATAATAATAAAAATGTCGGATACTTCACATGCAGGCCCTAAGTGGAACTATGAATTTGTAACTTCAGGTGCTCCAAGACAACCAAATGAAAGTTCTTTTAAATATAATGTACGAAAATTGTTTACAGTAAAAACATTGGAAAGCTTGGCGGAAGATCAACGAACTTCCGAGCTTAGAAAAGCTTTGAGTGTTTTTGAGTTGACGATGATTGGCTTAGGCAGTATAATTGGGACTGGGATATTTGTTTTGACAGGTGGGCTAAAAATGGGTTGTTATAATTGTAAAAAGTTACTTTCATCCGAATTTCAATTGATGTAATTAGGTCAAGCTGCTGCGACTAAGGCAGGCCCTGCTGTCATTATATCTTTTTTATTGGCTGGACTTGCTGCTAGTTTTGCTGCATTATCTTATTCTGAGTTAGCCTCGATGATTCCAATTTCAGGTTCATCATATACTTATACCTATGCAACTATGGGTGAGCTTATAGCTTGGATCATCGGTTGGGATTTAACTTTGGAATATTTGGTGGGTGCTGCTACGGTGTCTGTTGGTATGTAATTTATCTCTGCTTATTACTATTAATATCATACATATTATTAAAACTTTGGCTTCTATAATATTAAAAAGGGTGGTCTGGCTATTTTACGCATTTTTTTTACGATGGTTTTGGTATCCAATTATCTCCATCATGGACCAGCTCTCCGATAATTTTTAATCATACAAGCAGTGCCTTTGAACTAGTTCCTGGAGCTTATTTCAATGTTCCTGCCTTTACTATCGTAGTTCTTTTGACTATTTTACTTATAATAGGAGTTAAAGAATCAGCAAGAGTTAATGCATTGGTTGTCAGCGTAAAACTTGTAGTTATAATATTGTTCATTATTGCAGCTGGAACTCGTATCAACTCTGAAAATTACCAACCATTTGTTCCACCCAATGAAGGTTCATTTTCTAAATTTGGTGTATGTTTAACATTAATTTCAATTTAAATTGATTTTTTCAAAGAGACTCAAATTGTAATGAAATTTAGATTACTGGGATACTATCAGGGACTAGTGTCGTGTTCTTTGCATTTATCGGGTTTGATTCGATTTCAACTATTGCACAAGAATCTAAAAATGCTCAAAGAGATTTACCAATTGCGATTATGGGCAGTTTCGGCATTGTTTCTGTTATTTACATCGCTGTATGGTAAGTTTCCTTTCGTATTACTATTGCGATCTAGTAATAATATATTATTAAAAGATGTATAACTAGGCCATGCAACCGTATCATAAATCCTAACAACACAAATATTTTGGCAAATGTCACTAACTTATTTATTCATTCATTTTAAAGTGTTGTGTTGACCGGTGTAGTATCATACAAGAAGCTTGACAGCCCTGCACCATTATCTGTAGCTGTTAATGAAACAGGACTGAGATGGTTAGGAGTTATTGTGGATCTCGGTGCAGTATGTGGTCTGATATCTGTCATTCTCGTATCATTGATGGGACAACCACGTATTTTCTTGGCGATGGCAAAGTAATTTGCTTTAATTTTATGTTTAATTTTTTTATATTTATTTGAATCATTTCAAAAAACTTTAATATATTTCACGATACATAGTGACGGTTTATTTTTACCTGGAATTGCTTCAAAAATTCATCCTCGATTTGGTACGCCATACATAATAACTATAATTGGTGGTGCAATTTGCTCAATAGCAGCTGCGTTGTTCCCAATAGATGTACTTGCTGAATTAACATCAGTTGGTACGCTATTGGCTTTCTTCTTAGTAAATATAGGGGTAACAATATTAAGGTTTAAGGCCCCAAATGCACGTAGAAACTTCAAAGTGCCAGGTGGACCATTCTTAATTCCAATTACAGGTGCATTATTAACTCTATTAATATTGGCAACTGCATCACCTGCAAGTATAGGTAGACTGTTTGTTTGGATGGCAATCGGATTGGTAATATATGCCTTTTACGGAAGGAGACGCTCTAAAGCTAATAATCCACAGTTGATAGATAAAGAACATGCCATGGAGATGAGGCCTATAAACGAGGGTAGTGAGCAAAGTGGAGACGCAGAGACTAGTCGTACTAAAATTACAAAAAACGTTTAATCTATATTAAATTACTACTCTCTTTGTTTTAGACATCTTAAATTAAGATATGTAATTTGTACGTTGCTAATAATTTATAATTTATTGGTGTCGGATTCTTCATAGTGTATTGAAAATATTTATCGAACTTGTATTGAAAATATTTATCGAACTTGTATTGAAAATATTTATCGAACTTGTAT